GCCCCCCCCCCCCCCTCCTTATTACGACATCTTGTAGCTGTTGCCTTATTTGACTGCGTGCGCTATTTAGTTGCGTTGCCATTTCATGCGTATCTTAAGCGGAATAGTGACATTAATAGTAATAAGCGCCGCAATGTTTCTTTTTTTTAAAAAAAGCATTGATGGTTAGTTAAAGAAAAAATTAGACGAAGGCAATAATAAATAAGCAACTGTCGAAGCTTGTGGCAATTGTCGGCTTTTTGCAGTATACGTTTCCTTGGAACCGTCAGTTTTGTTGCAAGCTATAAGCTTGTAACCATGCGACCGCAAAGTAGTCATCCAACGCAGATAAGGATGTTGCAGTGCCTGTAGCATGTTACCAACGGTACCCCCGAGCTCTTTCGTGAGGTCGCTGGTGTGGTGAGCTTATAACAAGCAGCAAGACCCGAAACGTGCTCTCGCTAACATGTGTCGAAGGTTTGATTTAAACGATACCTTCCATGATGTAGCTATAGGTCGCACGCAAAAAGTTGACGGAGTTGAACGTCCTTGATATTAACAATACATGATTTAAATCTACTTTCAAACAAACAGCCACAGAGACAAACGTTGCTCTAGCATTTTGATATTGGTATAAAAAAGGCTCGTTTATAACATGGAGTTAAATAAAATAGTTGATATATTTACAGACCTACATGTACAAATAAAGCAAAGGGACAGATAAGTGATAAACAAACTACGGTAAAGGAACAGCGTTAACTTTGGAAAAGTAGATTGTCTAAATAAAAGGTGACAGGTGTCACTGTTGTAAGAAATCCCCAACAGTCAAGGCCAAACTGAACACAGAAAGAAAATCAACTTCCATGCAACTTAGACACTTTGACCACCATGTAAACTTATTTTTCAAAGTAATGTCAAGTAAGGCTTTAGATAACATTTTAGTCTAAATTCCCTTTCGCTGGGCTTTACCAATTATTAAAAAGTTTTTCATCTAGCGCGAATGATAACCAGCTGAAAGTACAGTTTGTGGTTCTATACGGTATGTAAATAACCTGCGAAGAAGCTCTCCATTTGGGGGAGGAGTCGCGAGAAGTCACGCATCTAGTATGCAAACATCAGGATCTATCCAATTGTAAAAACTTGTCTTTGTCAGGATATGCGGTTGAATAACCTTTTTTTGTTTTGCATTAACTGATTTCTACTTACAATAGATCATATCAAATTATTCTGCCATAATACACAAGTATAATGTTCATGATTAATCAGTTGTTCCCATCATATTTGGTGTTTTTCTTTAAAAGCCATAATCAGCTCTGATGTATATAAGCCAGCTGCAGGTTGTTCACAAGGTGGTTAACGCTATTCACCAGAATTCACCGGATAAATCGATCTCTATCCACTAGGACATTTATCCACTGGATAAGGATTTATCCGGTGGATAACGCTATCCAGCTTTTGAACAACTGCGGCCAGTTATAGTTCAATCCCATCCTCGTTGTAAGCTTTATAATAGTCTTTCTTGGGAAATCCTATCTCTTGTCCCTCCTCTCTCATCACGTTTCGGGTTACTCCAAGTAGCTGTTAATCCCTTCAGTAGGGGTCACACATTTCTTTAAACGGGGTTGTGACGCTTATGCGGTTATGTAGATATTCACAGCTATCTCAGCCATTCAGATTCTTAGTTGGTAGTGATGTACAAGAAATTTATGGAGATGCCTCAACGTTGAAGGGTTTAACAATCTTGTAAGTGATCATGTATTCTGGATAGGCCTGTAAACAACATAGGAAACAAGGACGAAGTGCGTCATGAGATAATTAACCAAATGGCACATACAGTTTTTTAAAAAGACACTGGCATCATATTATCATAACCAAATGCTGTATCTGTATTTTTTGAATAGCACAAATCAACAAGGTCAACCGAGCTGGACTTTTTGCACTCTTGGACAGTGGTTTTGGCCAAATTGTAACGCAGATCGTCCCCATAACAGTGAACACACAATTTTGGTAGTATCTGTCCAGGCATATTAAAAGGGTAAAGGACTCACTTCCGGTTGACGTGTGTCGCTCAAAATATCTATGCTTTATGTCAGTGGAGCGCCTGTTCTCCGCGGACAACACTAAAACCCTCAAAAGTAAAGGAAATTACGAATTTCTCACGAAAGACGACTTTAATACGTTCACAAATTAGCAAACCTCACGGTGCAGGGTTGACGGTATGAAGATTTTGTTGCATGTAAATTTAGCTTTTGTCAACTGGCTAAAAAATGGAGGCCAAAGTCGCACCCAATATAATCAACGGCGGAAGTAGTCAAATTTGAAGGTCGCTACTAGTATTCTCTTANTATCTGTATTTTTTGAATAGCACAAATCAACAAGGTCAACCGAGCTGGACTTTTTGCACTCTTGGACAGTGGTTTTGGCCAAATTGTAACGCAGCTCGTCCCTATAACAGTGAACACACAATTTTGGTAGTGTCTGTCCAGGCATATTAAAAGGGTAAAGGACTCACTTCCGGTTGACGTGTGTCGCTCAAAATATCTATGCTTTATGTCAGTGGAGTGCCTGTTCTCCGCGGACAACACTAAAACCCTCGAAAGTAAAGGAAATTACGAATTTCTCACGAAAGACGACTTTGATACGTTCACAAATTAGCAAACCTCACGGTGCAGGGTTTACGGTATGAAGATTTTGTTGCATGTAAATTTAGCTTTTGTCAACTGGCTAAAAAATGGAGGCCAAAGTCGCACCCAATATAATCAACGGCGGAAGTAGTCAAATTTGAAGGTCGCTACTAGTATTCTCTTAAACGACAGCCACAAGGGCAACGAGAAAAGAAAATACAGCTCTAAAAAGCAAGACATACCTGTTCCCCTCTATACACAACATATTCGGCAAACGACAGCCCTTCTGAGCTGGGACGTCCTATTACAGAATGATGACCTGGAGGGCCATGCGCCATCTTGACGGCTGAAAACTGGTAAAATGGCTTACCAAGGGCCACACGACATAAAAGAAGTTGCCTGTCAGTTAAAAAAACATTGCGTTGATAAGATACAAACTAGAACGAAAAATTCCATTGGATTCAAATTCACATCAGGCGGCATTCATATAAATCATTCATAATATTGATTACTTATAAACGGCGCCAAAAGACGTGTGGCTTAAAGGCACTGTGTCACGGCAGTCCAGTTCATTTTATTTAATTTTAACACTTACTCGCCCTCAATCCCTATGAAACTTAAAGTAAGCAAAGAAATTACATGGAAATGACAAAATAAACATGGCGTCGTTCTTTCGTTCATTTGCCTGAAGAAAACCCACACGTGCAGGTAATTACGTACAAGGGGTATTAAACTGCCCCGGACATGAGCAATCGATTTAAACTCAAACATCTGAGTGAAACAGATATAATATAATTAGGGGCTTCTTATGAAATCAAGCTGTTAGCTCTCTTCTTCTGTAAACGTATTTATCCCACAGTCATTCGTTTATGATCCGCTGAATGTGAAACAGAAGGAAACAGACTTAAAGAAAGGAGAAAATGGACTTCAATCGCCTTTTTCTAGCTAAGCCACTATGTCACCAATTGTTTGTATTAGAGACAAAAGCCACATAAACCATAGAACACATAAAGATCTTATGTTGTAGCTAATCACTATACAAGTGCACTGACCGTAAATGGAAAACGACAAAAAGTTGAATGCAATCTAATATGTTATTGTAGTATCACGCAAGTCTTTATACATAAGAATTTTCTGAGCTGTTTTTATCTGCTCATTTTGTATTTTGAGAAATTCTCAACTTGGTTAAACTATTTCAAGAAATGTCCAATTTTGACCTCGGTTCAAGAGAACTACTGGCCATTCAGATCTTTAAATAATTGAGTTATGCATTGACATGCCGGAAGTGAAAACTAACTTAATTAATTAGAAGTTCCCCCTCTCAGAACTCCGCTCCACAACGTCATTCTACAGTTTTTGTGTAAGGCAAAAGCTTTGCCGTAGTGCCAGCCCTGCATTCAGCTTAGCCTGCGTGCCAGGCGTTTGAAAGGGAAGGGAAAGGAAGTTTAAGGCGCGAGAGAAACTCGAGGGGTGCGTTTCTCTCGCGCCTAAAACTCCCTTTCGCTTCCTTTTCAAACGCCTGCCACGCTGGCTACATTCAGCTTTGTTTTTTTAAACATTAAACTTCCGGTTATGCTATCCGAGACTATCAGCGTCATTTGTTGCTTAACTAAAGAAGTTCGTTAATGTTTGTTTTGAGAACCACGCCAGGATGGAAAAGTGATCAAGCAGATGGCGAGAACTTCCAATCATATCTGATCTCACACTGCCGATTCAGATAAAAAATGAAGGTGTCTACCCTTAGCTTGGCAAAATGGCCGCGGGGCAAGAGTTTCCTCGAACCAGGGCAAGCACGGTTAGGGTGAGGGCAGAGAAAAATGGTTAGCCTGCATGCAGACGTCAGGAACCCTGCTATAAAACCGGGCAGCTAGCAGCTCCCATACTGCCCCTTGTCATGCAACAGCGTTTTCAGGGGCCAGTCTAATTTTAAGGCATTTTTCCCGCAAGAAAAGGTAAATGGTGTCTCCTTCGCAGCCGTTCTTTGACGTGGCGACACAAAAAAATGGCTACGTACGAGCCTGAGGGAAATAAAAGCTAGTCTCCGCCGGTCTTTGCCCGGTTATAAAAAGCTGCAGAGACTGCTAAACGTCATTAACACGTCAAAATTTTAAGTTCTGTAAGTTTGCTAACTGACTTTTGGACGTTGACGATATTCTAAGTTCGCGTTAGGAAATAAATTCTAAAAATAAACAAGTCTTTGAAAACGGCACGACGCGACCACTTGAAAGCGGTTAACTCGTTGGTTATGGGCTCCTGGAGTGGTCACTTTTGCTGCACGTATGAACCAAATTGAAGAAAACTGGGGGCGGCTGCTTTTAAAAGGGTGGTAGGCTAGTGTCTCCCCCAATTTTCCGCTTCTTTCACAAGGAACTATGTTTGATTCGCCGGCTCTACCGAAGAATTTGCATAAACATCTTATAATTCATTACTGTTTGGTTTTTTTTGTATATTTCATCAGTTACTGATGTGAACTCGAGGTTTTGGAAGCCTGTGTCATCGACTGACTGCAAGTCCTAAATTCATCACTTCTTTTTTTTTTGCACCTCAGTTAACCAATTGAGTTCATTTCCTTATTCTTTTTTTTTTGTTCATTGTGTTTCCCTTTCGCTTGGATTCATGTCAGCTTTTCAATTACAATGAATAACACTGAGTCCTACCTTGTTACACAGCTTAGCAAACCGCACCCATAATCATGATCTCACCCTCGGTAGCGAACGTCGAGATCTAAGTGGTACCTACAAGTTGTCGAGAAATATCAAGAATTCTTCCTTCGACTTACGGGTGACACAAACCTCTGTCAGTTATTAGGGTTCTGAAACGGTACATAAGTGAGGTTCTGCCTCGAGTGTCTTGACAAACACGCAAATTTTGCAAGAAGACAGCTACAAGCGACAATCAAATGTCCGGTTTGTCAGACATCTTTTCAAATTCCTGAAGGCGACTCATTCAAGAATTTGCCTGCATCTTATCATCTCAACCGACTGGTGGATGTTCTCGCTCTAAAAGATGGCGGCACACAGACCCAGAAATGCAGCAGTTGTGATGAGAACAATACCGCTTCCTCTTACTGTTTCGTCTGCCAAATATTCCTCTGTACTTCTTGTTTTGAAGCTCATCAGCGCCTGAAGACTACTAGAGGTCATCGCAATGTTGTGATAGAGAAATTGCAAGTGCAAGATGTTCAAGAGTTGATCCACAGACCCGCCATGTGTTCACAGCAATATCACGAAAATCAACCGCTGGAATTTTATTGCGAAGAATGTAAAGTTCTTATTTGCCACAAGTGCAGTGTAGTTAGCCATAATCGACACACCATGACAGACACTCAGAAAGCCGCACAAGTACAAAAGATGCAAATGAAGGACGCTTTGGAGAAAGTGAAAGCGGAAACTGTTATTTACGAGAACGAAATAAGGAAACAAACCGAGCTAATGGACAAAACCAAAAACGAGATTTTGTCAGCGGAAAAGAAGATGGCAGATGCCGTGGAGGAACGTATCCGTGAATTACGGGAACATGAGAGGGTCATGAAAGTCAAATTTGCTGAAATTTATGAGGCGCAACAAAAACATCACGCGACACAACTAGAAAACTTTGAGTTGGTTTTGACTCAACTGCAAAGCTGCATTGAGCGAGGTGAAAGTGCACTAGAAAGAAACGTCAGCGCTGAGATTCTTCAAACATATCAGATCATTGTTGGACGCTGTGAAGAACTTTTGAATGTAACAAAACCTGACCTTTATAAACCACCACACGTGAATTACATTGTCGAAAATCAACTGAATCCGGGCTTGGACCTAATTGTGGTTAGTAATACAGATCCTTTGCTTTCCTTAGCGGAAGTGGACAATCAAGAACTTGTAAGAGAGAAAACGGTGGCAAATTTCATCATTGTAACTAGAGATTCAAGTGGAAAGCAGCGTTATCATGAAGATGATCAAGTAAAAGTCAACATTATAACTCAAGCAGATGATCAACTGGAAACAGAGGTAAAAGACAACAAAAACGGCAAGTACACAGTAACATACACACCACAGTGTGTTGGACAACATAGAGTAGAGATCCAAGTTAATGGACAGCCGCTGACTTGTAGTCCCTGGGTTTTGCAGGTGATTCAGCATCAGTATCAATTTGCGTTTCAATTTGGATCAGAAGGAAAAAAGCAAGGACAGTTTAACCAACCTTTGGGTATTGCTGTGAGTGATAAAAGCAGGACGCTTGCTGTTGCTGATTTAAACAATGAGAGAGTTCAGATGTTTGGCTTTGATGGGAGTTTCCTGAGAGAGATTGTACTGGAAACTGAAACGTCTTCGGTGGCTTTTACCGAGTCTGGTGACCTCCTTAGCAATGTCGAGAGTGACGACAATAAACTCACCTTGTACTTGTACACTGAGGGTGGTCAATTCAATTGATACATCAGCGATGAACATGTGAAGGAACCATGGTATATATCTGTTGTGAGTGATGGTCGCATAATCATATGTGACTGGCACGACAATAGAATCAAAGTTCTTAGCCCTGATGGGAAAAACTTACTTCAGTCGTTCAGTGCTCCAGATTGTGATGCGGTGCCATTGTGTGCTGTTTATCTGCAGGACAAATTTTTTGTCTCTTATCCAGAAGCTCACCGTGTCAATGTATTTAACAACGTAGGGGAGTATCTATATGACATTGGCAGTAAGGGATGTGATGACGGGCAGTTCTCGTATCCCACTGGTCTCGCTATTGACAAGTTTAACCGTTTGATCGTTTGTGATAGGGATAACGATAGACTGCAACTGTTCACACTTGACGGAAAATATGTCGCTAAGGTAGCCGGGAGTTTTTTTGACCATAATAGCAATCTTTTTGGTTGTGCCGTGTCTAATACTGGACATTTGTTTGTTACGGATAACAACAAACACTGTATTTATGTTTTCAACTAGTAAGCACTGTGTGCAAATTGAACACCTTCTGAACAGGGATGTTAAAAATATTGTTTCTCAGGTACATTGATTTAGTGTTGATTATTGTTAACACTCTTGAATAATCCAGTTTTGTGGATGAGCGTTAAAACTTGAACTGAACATATGTACATATACATGCCGTGAGCTGATTATATTTTACCGTAACGTTTCATTATCCCGTAAATTTAATTTGATTTTGCCGTTGCACTTGTGGACCACTGTAGGACAATCAACTGAATTTTCTCCGCCAAAAGATACCTTAAAAAGTGGACTCTACTATGAGGGAAATGCGGATTTAATTGATAAGATAGGGAAATAGACCTTTTTTGAACAGTAAGAGAGAGAAAGAATACGTAGAATCGTGGTTTTTGGGGAATGAGAAAATTGACATGAGCGTCGGACAGAAAAGTCGAAAAATTTACCAAGACATTTACTGGATGGTAAATGCAGTTTAATGGAACATGAAGTCCCAGGAA